ATTTAATGTAAAATATTGCTATGGGACGGAGCCTGGCAGCCACACTGAGCGGTTGCACATCACAAGAGCTCTGTGATAATCTGCCCATATCCATCCGAAATTGAAGCAAATAGCCCCAAGTATTGCCTACTTACGAACCCCAGAGACAGAAGTCTACCACTGGGGCAACAAGCACCAAAAACCTCTACCAGAATCGGCGGCTCAAACCCGGGATAGAATAGAGGCCTACTCAGGCGGCACAAGGGAGGCAGCCAATCCTTTAGCCAACTGCAGAATAACCAACAGTAGGTCTCCCCGGTATGCCCCCCTCGCCGGTTAGGGATATCCCGGCAAACGCTACCCGTAACTCAGCAACAAGGCACCAACATTGCTCTACCTGCACTGCCGGACCAGCAATAAATGTCATGGCGGATGCCACGTGCAACTCCACAACCAGCTCTCTGCTGCCCTCTCTTTCTGAAAGGCTTGATCGCCTGTTAGCTGACTTCTGGGCGAAGCTCTCTCATCGAAGGGACACTCTCGAAGAGGCCCCACCGACAAGGAAACCACATAAAATCGCGCAGCAACCCGCAGCCCCTGGAAAGGGCCGGGCGCAACTTTGCTAGCATGGAGGAGAGGGCGGGCAACCCGTCGAAAACATTAGCGCCACAGAATCAGACCAGCAGTGTGCCACCCTACTTCTAAGCGGCAAACTATTCAGAGGCTACCCCCTCCACGCTTCCCTACCCTCTGGGAGACCACTGCTCCACCTTGGAGACAACTACATATTATTTATAAATATTTTCAAAAGAATCTTCAAAATTCTGCTATCTTGTTATATTACAGTTTAGTGAAAAAACTGCAAATTATCAAGGCTGATTTAAAATTAAAGTTATAACATACATTCTACTTTTTTAATGCATTCTCTAAGCACCAGAATAACTTAAAATTAGCTTAAAGGGACACTCCAGTGCCAGGAAAACAATCCGTTTACCTGGCACTGCAGGTCCCCTCTACCTCCCACCCCCCATCCCTGGTTGCTGAAGGGGTGGAAACCCCTTCAGTCACTTACCTGAGACCCCCGCCGATGTCCCTCGGCATTGGTTTCTGCTCGCCGCTGCTCCTCCTCTGCCTTACGTTAGCCGGTGGGCGAGACTGATCCCGCCCGCCGGCTGAGGAGACCTAATGCGCATGCGCATTAGAGCTGTCCATAGGAAAGCATCAAAAATGCTTTCCTATGGGGAATTGAGCGACGCTGGAGGTCCTCACACAGCGCAAGGATGTCCAGCGACGCTCTAGCACAACCTGTGCTATGGAGCAGGAAGTGCCCTCTAGTGACTTTCTAGTAGACAACCACTAGGGGAGGATTTAACCCTGCAAGGTAATTATTGCAGTTTATAAAAAACTGCAATAATTACACTTGCAGTGTTAAGGGTAGTGGGAGTTGGCAACCAGACCACTCCAATGGGCAGAAGTGGTCTGGGTGCCTACAGTGTCCCTCTAACAAGCAGTTTTGGTGTGTAGCTCATGCTCCGGCAGATTCACTGCTCCATTTTTGCCTTTTTATGCAGCCCTAGACACACTTTCCCTCACTGTGACTCTCAAAGCCACCATGACAAAATAGTTTCCTTTTTATTTAGATTTAACAATATATTGTGTTAACTTTAGACATTCCTATCTACTGCTCTGTTAATTGAATCTTAATTATAAACAGGAGGCTCCTATAGGCTTTACCAGCTATTAACAGACCAGGAGACTCTAAATTAAACAAACTGTGCAATAACAGAAGCTAACAATGTAGACACTTTTTAAGAAAGTATGTATGGAGGCTGTGTGAGTCACAGACAGGGGAGGTATGGCTGGTGCTGCATAAACAAAGTGGTTTAACTCGCAGAGAATTGAGCAGTGAGATTGCAGGAGACTGATAAATTGATTTAATAAAGTGATTTGAAGCTAAGTTGTTTAGTGCTTAGTGTCCCTTAAATACGTTCCAATGCATGTAGGATAAAAATATTACTAATATATCCAGCATTGATAAAGCTAAAATTATTTTTATGCAGATGTATGAAAAAACCCTTATCACAAACATGTCAGGTTTTATAAAGATTATTTTTTTCTTAACAAAGCTATTTCTATATGCACTGTTTTTGTTTTTTACAGGTGATTTTGACAGTGACCGAGAAAAAGCTCAGTACAGAAACGAGAGATGGGACAAGGCAATGCCAATATGGAAGAAGTTTGCTTTGGCTGGCAAAAAAAAACGTGAGGGTAGGTCAAATCAAAGGGAATCGTTCTATGATATTTCACAAGTAACCCCCTCATATCAACACCGGTACCTGGTTCATCCAGGAATTCTGCTTACATGGCCATTGACTGCTGTAAAATAGATGTGGACAGATCTGAATTAACAAACAAACTTTTTTTTCTGTTTATGCGGCCCTACACACACTTTCCCTCACTGTGACTCACACAGCCACCATGACAAAAAGGTTTCCTTTTTATTTCGATTTTTACAGTACACTGTGTTTACTTAAGACATTCTTATCTACTACTCTGTTAATTGAACCTTAATTATAAATAGGAGGCTTCTATAGCCATTACTAGCTATTAACAGGCCAAGAGATTCTAAATTGAACTGTGGGATAAAAAAAGCTCAAAAATGTAGACACTTTTTAAGAAAGTATGTATGGAGGCTGTGTGTGTCACAGACATGAGAGGTATGGCTAGGGCTGCATAAACAAAGTGATTTAAATCACAAGTCGCAGAGAATCGAGCAGTGAGACTGCAAGGGACTTATAAACTCAAATCACTTTATTAAATCGAAGTTGTTTAGTGCTTAGTGTCCCTTTAATACGTTCCAATGCATGTAGGATAAAAATATTTCTAATATATCCAGCAATGATAAAACTAAAATTACTTTTATGCAGATGTATGAAAAAATCCTTATCACAAACATGTCAGGTTTTATAAAGATTATTTTTTTTCTTAACAAAGCTATTTCTATATACACTGTTTTTGTTTGTGTTTTTGGTTTTTACAGGTGATTTTGACAGTAACCGAGAAAAAGCTCAGTTCGGAAACGAGAGATGGGACAAGACAATGCCAATATGGAAAAAGTTTGCTTTGGCTGGCAAAAAAAAACGTGAGGGTAGGTCAAATCAAAGGGAATCGTTCTATAACTATTTCACAAGTAACCCCCTCACATCAACACCGGTACCTGGTTCATCCAAGAATTCTGCTTACATGGCCATTGACTGCTGTAAAATAGATGTGGACAGATCTGAATTAACAAACAGAGGCACATGTGAAAACGAAGGTAAGGAACCAAAACATTCATCCATAATACTGGAAGAAGACGGCAATGAAATTTGCATGGAAAGTGTGCAAAATGCTGTCCCTCTTTTCCATAACAATGCAAATATCCGTGTTCTTTCACCACCTGACAGCATCGTAACAGCAGTTACTGAGATAACTGCAACAGCAAATGATACAGAAGATACAATCTACTATACTCCAGAACTTTATGACGATGTAGATCAACAACTCAGTCCTAAACCAAATGATATAGCAGAACTACTGTCAGGTCCATTTGATGAACTCATTAATGGAAGCACAGACAAAAGTCAACTCAGCGTTCCAACAGATGAGTTAAATGACACTGATGCAAAGCTACCAAATATAAACATAAAGTCATCTCCTGTCAACATGTCTGAAAGGGAGAAGAATCTGATATATGGTGAAAATGATAAAGAAGAATTTGATGTGAGACAGGCTAACAGAGACCATGTTAAACAAACCAGGGAAAATAGAAAGCACAGACTTTCCAGATCTAGAAATAAAAGTCTATCCACGTCCAATTTTGATTAATCTTGTAATAATTTGCAAAATATTAGCAGTTTGGAGGTTGAGCTAAAATAAATATTACAAAAAATATATAAAAATGTATCTAAAATACTGCAGCCAACATATGTATTTTTTAGTTTTTCTATGTGCACCAGCCATATGGTTAATGTTTATATTGTATTGCTAGCAAAGAAAAAATGGATTTATCATGTATGGAATCCATTCAACTCCCAGAATTCATCACTCAGAAATAAATACCGTCAATAGTGGACTTTATAAGAGCACCTGTTGTATTAATTCAGTTACTTTTAAACAATCAACACTACATAAAAAAAAAAATCCTATGGATTCAATCAAAATGTGTAGTGGGTGAAATAAAAGTACAGGTTTAATGACGATCTTAAGTTGCATTCTGAAAATTTAACTTCATCATTTGTTTTCCAAGATTTCATTTATAAACAAGGCTAAATGATATTTACAAGAAATTTTTTTTTTTTTTTTTAAACACAATAACAGCATGGGGGGAAAAACTGAGCCTTTCATTATCAAATGTGTCAACGGAATATTTGTATCTCTCGCTGCAAATGGGTTAAATGTCCATTATCAATAATTACTGTGTTTGCAGTGCATTGTGTAATATAGATGGGAGTTTATAAAAACTATTTTAAAATAATTACTGAGAACTATGTCAACATCAAATGATGTCATTTGGATCCTATGTGGCATATTGATTTACATAAAGTATTATACTTTTCCTAATATGTATTTGTACACACTTGTTGATTATTCCCTTTTGCAAAAATGGATCTGAATATGTGTTTCAAATAGATATAGATATATACAAAGATGTGCAACACTGAATTGTAGAATTCACTTCTTTATTTCACAGAAAACTCCAAAGGAATGTCATACACATTTTATTGCTCAAGATCATTGACTAATTTTACTATTCCAGTGTGTTTCTGCAATTAGTGATGTGCCGAACGGTTCACGAATGGTTCGCCACGGACTCATCATTGAGTAAACTTTGACCCTGTACCTCACAGCCAGCAGACACATTCCAGCCAATCAGCAGCAGACCCTCCCACCTCCTGGACAGCATCCATTTTGAAGCTGCATTCTTAGTGAGCTGTCCAGGAGGTGGGAGTGTCTGGGAGGGAGGGTCTGCTGCTGATTGGCTGGAATGTGTCTGCTGACTGTGAGGTACAGGGTCAAAGTTTACTCAATGATGAGTCCGCGGCAAACCGTTCGGGACATCACTATCTGCAATGAATCATTCTTTATAAGGTTGTTTTCTATTAGTTCCTCGATCTGTTTTCTTTGTTCAAATGTTGTATTAAAGTGATGCATTGTTACATTTTATGTGGTTTAATAACATATTGGACAATGGTTGTCCTGCAACTAAACATCTTGAATTAAGCTGGAATTATTCGCTGTAATGGAAATTGTCGGAATTCATAGTTAATTTACATTTAAGACCGTAGACGATGAACTGCATTGCTGACGTGGGTAATGATTCCAATTCAGCTATTTGGCACTAAATTTGAAACTTACTTTAAATTTTCAACATTTCTCATTTTAGTAAATAACCCTGTAAAAGTGTTAAGCTCAGATCTTTTGCCCTCTGTCATGTCTTGTTCGAGCCATACTGATAACTGATTAGCCAATTACCTTATTTTTGATTAGTTTAAACATCTGCTAAAATTAATCCCATTTTATTAAGATAAACAGTTTGGGTTTTCCTTGTGTAAACATCTAGCGATGCAGTAATACCTAAATATAAAATAGTTATGCGTGGTACACCTCATTTCACAACTTAACCATTTTAATAATTTATACTGTTTATACAGTTTATTCAGGTGCAACAGTTAATATTTTACTTGAAATCGAAAAATAGTGGAAATAAGGTCCCTTTTCAGCTATTGAAGTTAGTATTTTTTTATTTTTATTGGTCAGGTTGAGAATATACACATTTAGCCTAGATTTGGTAAATTCTCTCCAGGTGGCATGTGATAATGGCATTGCCATCATATCTTCCCTATTCCATACAGGTGTTGGAACTCAAGGCTTTCCTGTCCCTTTTTTTTTTTTTTTATACGCTACATTATATTCATGTAAGTCGCTGCTTTTTTCCTTTGATGTTTATACTGACAAGTCTTCATGAGAGCTCTTGAGAGCACACTTGGTTTGACCTGTGTATAATAAACGTGCTTAATGTTAAAGTGGGTGTGCTAGTCTATTTGATTTTATTTTCAGGATTGAAAATCAATAAATGGAACAATATCACAACTTGTAACCCAAGTGTGATGTGACACACTGCTGTCAGCCTGGTTTAATCAATGGTTTTATCATCATCATAACCTTTACGCAAAACAAATTAAATAATATAGACTCAAACACGTATCTAAACATATGTTAAAATAATTTACCCATGGTTGTAGAATTCAATAAAACACACGATTAATAAAAATATCTAAAAAAAATAAATACTATCTCTTGTCTTCATTTTAGAATATATATTTTGTTTTAAATATATTTTCTGTTATGTTTCAAATCTATTGGTTCTTAAAATGTAATCATTGCACGCATAAGACTTTCAGGATTAGCTGCTTATTTATGCAATTTATTTTAAGTTGAATTGTTAAATAATTTGTTTAGAAATTAGAAGAAAATACACTGTCTGAAAGTTTCAGTAAAGCATGAAAACTCTTCCTTTATAGGTGGTCTGCAACTAATAATGTAAGCTGTAATGCTAAACTATATTTTCTTATATTTTCCACATTATAATTGTAAACTGGCACATGCAATAGGTTATCATATCGTTCTACATTTAAATGAACTTGGGTAAACTACTGGGATATCATTTACGCTCTGTGACAGCTCTTACTCAAAATTAAGTTCTTGTATGATTTAATGTATATAAGGGTACCAGTTCTGTGTATAGCCTACATTAAAACTCAATCACTGTCTAAACCAGGGATCTCTGACTATGGCCCAAAAGGTGTTGATGGCCTGCAACTTCCATAATTCTGTCCTAATGAGGGGCTAAAAAGATGCTTCTGTTCTGAGGTAATTTAGTAATTTCAAAGCTTGGTTTACACTATTCGGGTGATAGTACGTTACGTGAATTTCTTCCAAATTGCTACGAATAATTTTGGCCAATTTGTAAAAAATCCCACCTTGTGCCAAAATTTGAAAGTTGCAATAATGAACATTGGATTTTAAACACTCAAAAATTGGATTCTCCAAATAATATCCCAACTTAACAATATTCATATAGCAGATGGCCAGGTGAATTCATGTACAAACTCTCCATTAATCCCTTCTTTGCTTGCTGAGGTGATGATGGTCTTGCCCACACTGTGATATTAAGGGAGAATACATTTACGATCCTCTGCAGAGATCTTGACGTGGACATGTTTCTTTAGGATTTATAGGTTTACAAATGACTTTGCTGTTCACATTTAAAATTGCCACATCAAATATTTTCAACATAATAATGGCTAATGCTGGATTTGAGCTGACTTTAATAAGTGCACACATACTTGTTGTAGTGGGAAAGCCTTTTGTCTCATTTTAACTTTAGTAACAAATATTATTTGACTTGGCATTTGATTAAAAAAGTAATGTGATTTTAATCCATGGTGCCAGTTCTCTAATTTACCTACTGTCACTAGTCAGTGTTTGTAGATAAACTAAACGTCATAACTGCTGCTGTCCTAACTTGCAGATATCTTCTGGGTTTATTTTTGTTTTGTTTACGTTGATTGATCACTCTGCAGCCCCTGGGTGTCTAGCAAAACCTGTTATACAGTGAAGGAAAAAAGTATTTGATTCCCTGCTGATTTTGAACGTTTGTGCACTGACAAAGAAACGGTCAGTCTATAATTTTAATGTTAGGTGTATTTTAACAGTGAGAGACAGAAAAACAAACAAAAAAATCCAGAAAAATGCATGTCAAAAAACCTTCAACTTAGTACTTGGTGGCAAAACCCTTGTTGGCAAACACAGAGGTCAGATGTTTCTTGTAGTTGGCCACCAGGTTTGCACACATCTCAAGAGGGATTTTGTCCCACTCCTCTTATCCTCTCCAAGTCATTACGGTTTCGAGGCTGACGTTTGGCAACTTGAACCTTAAGATCCCTCCGCAGATTTTCTATGGGATTATGATCTGACTAGGCCACTCCAGGACATTTTATGTGCTGCTTCTTGTGCCACTCCTTTGTTGCCTTGGCTGTGTGTTTTGGGTCATTGTCATGCTGGAATACCCATCCACGACCCATTTTCAATGCCCTGGCTGAGGGAAGAAGGTTCTCACCCAAGATTTGAAGGTTTTCACTCATTGACATGCAAATCAATTTATAACTCTTTTGACATGGGTTTTTCTGGATTTTCTTTTGTGTTCTGTCTCTCACTGTTAAAATACACCTACCATTAAAATTATAGAGTGATCGGTTAGTACAGGAGAGACAATGGTTTTAAGAGTCTGAGATGAAGTGTTTAGCAGTGGCAAAATCAACACCAGAGGGTTTATTCACTAAATTTCTGCAGCACCGTAAATGAAATTAAAATCCAAATCACAGAATATAGGGGAGAATAGCCTACATGTGAATTTAGCGGTGTTAGAAAATAAAAATTAAATCAGTTCCTTTTCCCTAATTGCCATTCAGATTTCAATTTATTAAAATGTGAAGTTTAGTACGTGAACCCAAAGTCTTAATCTTTAATATTTTGTGTTATGTTCAGTAACTGGTTTCTGATCTAGCCTACTTGCCCGGTAAACCAAGAATGCTTTCTGGAATGCAGTGGATTAATGACCGCAGTTAGACTGCTAACTCAGCATAGAAACCCCTGCTCGAAGATCACTAAACAAGCTGAATGTAATGAAGGTTCAGTGGGTACTGTATTATGAGTTTCTTTAAAAAGGTAATAGATCAAAACTTAAAGGGATACTCCAGACCCCTAAATAACTTAAGCTTGTAAAATAAAAAATGTGTGAACAGTGTGCCTCTTTTTTATGTGCAGATTACAATAGAGATTGTCACTTTTGTAAATTAAATTTGTTACACCCCTTTGGCTGTCAATCAAACAACCAGTCCTGTTACTTCCTGGTTGTTTAGCTAAACTCAAGAGGCAGGCAATTATTCAGTCCCAGAGCACCTGCCTTGCAAAGATGTCTCAATGAGATGCAATAATAAATCTGTAAGGTTACAGCCTTACAGCCACAGAAAGGCTGAGCTGGGTTAAAAGGGGACAGCCGACAAGAGGTTTCCATCTTTTTAACCCCTTAAGGACCAAGTTTCTGGAATAAAATGGAATCATGACATGTCAGACATGTGTCCTTAAGGGGTTAAAGCTGATATTCGATATAGCAACAATCAAAAATATTTAATTAAAAGCATTTCTTATAGTTTGATGGTTGATGTAAAAACTTACAGGAAATATCCTAGTGGGCCTGTCCAGACCCCAAGATGATTGAGATTGTGGGGCACCAGCCCAACCACAAACAAACATGGAGACTGCGTGTTGTGTTTGTTGGTGGTTGAGTGTTGTACATATGGGAGGCTGTATGTGATAGTGAGTCTCAATGTGCCTGTGCGTGCTGGTTGAGTGTTGTCTGTGGTGGTTAAATTATGTGTGTGGAAGGAAGTCTGAGTATGGGTAAGTGACTCAATGACGCACAGCATTATCTGTGGTGCTCTGTTTCATTGGGAAGCACCTGGAAGCCATGAGGGATATATTAACCCCTTAAGGACACGTCATGTCTGACATGTCATGATTCCATTTTATTCCAGAAGCTTGGTCCTTAAGGGGTTAAAGTGACCTGCATTCAACAGGTAAAGACCACAGTGCTCCCTCGACCGTGAATGGTTATTATGTTCTTTATATAGTGCCATCAAATTCCACAGCACTTTACAATGGGTGGACGAACAGACATGTAGTTGTAACCAGACAAGTTGGACACACAGGAACAGAGGGGTTAAGGGCCCTGTTCAATGAGCTTGCATGTTAGAGGGAGTGGGGTAAAGTGACACAAAAAGGTAAGGATAATATTAGACTAATGACAGTTGCAAGAGAGGAATCAGTCGGGAGCTATTAACAGTTTAATTGATACGCCTTTATGAAGAAGTGTTTTTTTTAAACGATTTTTTGAAGGAGTTGAGACTGGGTGAGCATCTAACGGAGGAGGGAAGCGAGTTCCACAGGAACGGTGCAGCCCTTGAGAAGTCTGGAAGGAGAGCATCAGAGGTGGGAGTGCGGACAGAAGATAGATGTAAGTCTTCAGCAGAGCGTAAGGGCCTAGACGGGACATACTTGTATATTAGGGAGGATAAATAGGTGGGAGCAGCATTATGTAGAGATTTGAAAGCAAGAACCAGAATTTTAAATTGAGCCCTATATCTTACAGGAAGCCAATGTAGGTACTGACAGAAGGGTGAGGTGCGGGCAGACAGGAAGATGAGTCTCGCCGCCGCATTCATTATGGACTGTAACAAGTTGGGAACACGTAAGACCACTGAGAAGTGGATTATAGTAGTCATTGTGAGAAAGGACAGTGGAATGGACCAGCACCTTAGTCGCATCTGGCGTTAAGTAGAGTCTGATGCGCGCAATGTTTTTGAGATGGAAACAACCGAATTTGGCGATAGACTGAACATGAGGCTTGAAGGAGAGGTCAGAGTCAAAGAGAACACCTAGGCAGCGAGCTTGCGTGGTGGAGCTGATGGTAGCACCGTTGACTTGGAGGGAGACTGACACAGGAGTAACAACACTTTGAGGGAGGAAAGACCAGAATTTCAGTTTTGGTCAAGTTGCGTTTAAGGAAGTGAGCAGCCATCCAGTTAGAAATATCAGAGAGGCAGTCAGAAACTCTAGTCAAGAGAGACGGGGAGAGATCAGGAGAGGACAGGTAGATTTGCGTGTCATCTGCATAGAAATTATATTGGAAGCCAAAGGAGCTAATGACCAGGACCAAGGACTGATCCTTAAGGGACACTAACAGAGAGGAGTTGAGGAGAAGAAGCAGAGCCAGAGAAAGAAACACTGAAAGAGCGCTGGGAGAGGTAGGAGGAGCACCAAGAGAGAGCAATATCTTGTAGACCGGAGGATGAGAAGAAGCTGTTAATGATCAACAGTGTCAAAAGCCGCAGACAGGTCAAGGAGCATGAGGATAGAGTAGTGACCACGAGATTTTGCAGCAGGTAGATCATTGGATACTTTGGTCAGTGCCGTTTCTACAGAGTGCTTAGCGCGGAAACCAGACTGAAAAGGCAGTAGCGAGATAGGAAGGTAGTTGGATGGGGCGTTGGGGTCAAGGTTGGGCTTCTTTAGAATTGGGGTTACAGTTGCATGTTTGAAAGGTGATGGAAATATACCAGAGGAGAGAGAGAGATTGAGACTTTTAGGGAGAGGTGGAGAAAGAGAAGACAGAGTACGGATGAGATGCAAGGGAATTGGATCTAGGAAGCCG